TTATTTAAGCTGAACAATTTCCTAAGGAATTCAAAGGTCTCATAAACCTGGATGCACATTCATGAACACAGGCACAGAGAGGCCCACTGGGCCCAGATCCATACATTCTTGGGTGGCCAGGAACCCAGGACTTGGAACTATCCAATCTGGAAGTGATACCAAGTCTGCAGGTATAGCCACAGTGGTTTTCATCCCAGTCTGGTGGCCACGGAAGTGTCAGCTGCTGCTCACAGGTGGCGGGCTACCTCCCAGAGGATCTGCAGGGCCATCGAGGCACAGGGGAGCTGGGCCAGGGTGTTGGACAGGGAGTGGATGGGCACCAGCAGCTTGCCCAGGTAGGCCACAGTGTGTACCATGCAGCCCACAGGAAGATGAGGACGTGCAGCCAGGCAACAAAAGGGTTAGGCCCTAAGAAAGAGTAGACCCAGGAAGAGGAAGGGATAGATGGTCTTCATGTCGTTCCAGTGAGCCCTAAGGCAATGCTCCACTACGGGTCACTCCGACAGTACTGGGGGCCTCCATATCTCAGGGCATCTGAGATATGCGAAAGCCTTCTTCCAAAGCCTCACTTGGCCTGTGATGACAGCTACTACGTTTATCTTCATGACGAGCAGTGTGCTGAAGAGCAGGAAAGCCGGGAGCACCTGGCCCCTGCCATCATCACCAGGTCTAGGGCAGGCATCTCTGCCAGACCGCATGAGCTCTGACTCTGGGACAGCCAGACCGTGGGTAGGACCGTCCACAGAGCGGCCTGGACAGACCCATTTCTTCCTTTTTTTAGCCAGGTTGAAGCACTTTGCTTTACACTTCCATCTTCTATACAGCATACATTCGGGGCTTATTATAAGCCAAAGTAAAAACAGTTTTCTTTAAACACAAGACCAAGTGCATTCACTTTCTCAATAGTCATGTTGTAATTATAGATAGATGACAGATAGATAGATAGATTTATCTATCTATATACATATCACTGAAAAATTTAAGAAACACAGACTATGCAACAAACAGATCTTAAAGTAGAAGACTTAACCCAGTATTTTAAGAAATAACCAGGGCTTTTACAAAGTAAGATGGTCATGGTCACGAGTATTATATATTCCTTTAATTCTCTTGCTGCAAGTATAATTATCAGTGAACATTATTGATTGTTAACTGTGAAATAATATTGGGGATAGATAATAGTTTTCAGCACTTATCTACTTTAAGCTCTGTACCAAAGACAATTTTTTGAATAATCTTCTAATTACTATTGTTGTCATAAATAAAGCCAATGCAATACTCTTTGATAGCATATCAAAAACTTTAACTTTCCCAGTAAGCTAGCAAAACTATTAGTATAATTCAGTCTGAGTTTGGAGGCTTCAAAACCAGGGGAGCTGATGGTACAATCCCCAATCTGCATTTGAAGGCTTGAGAACTAAGAGCACCATGTCCACGGCAGGCTCAAGACAAGTGTGTCCTTCCTCTTGTTATATTGAGACCTTCAATAAATTGGGTAGCACCAGCTCACATTAGTAGGGTAGGTTCTTTTTTACTAAGTGTACTGATTTACACGCTATTTTCTGGAGGCACATCCACAGACATTCCCAGAAAGACATACCAGACAAACATACCTAGAAATAATGTTTTGCTACTATCAAAGCTTTCCTTAGCCCAGAAAAGATGGCACATAAAATTAAACATCATGCAGCCAGAATAGGTTAAGACAGAAATTGGTGCCAAGAATTTTATATAACACATATGTAAAATTGTGGAAGTCACTTTGAAATTGGGTGAATGGATAAAGACTGAGAAGAGGTGTATGCAAGAAAAAGTACACACTGCTGTGAACAGACTTTTCAACATGGTTCTGGTGAGGACATCAAAGGAATAGAGGAAGACAGTAGAGAAAGTAGTTGTTAATACAATGCTGATAGAAATATGGAAGGTGAAGAACATACTGAAGACGCTCCAGACAAAAGTGAGAAAAATGTCATCAGATAATGGAGAAGTTGATTCTTCATATAAAGTGGCAAATAAATTGGCTAAATGATGCTTGTGTTCTAGAGTTTTGTGAAAGTAGAACTTGGAAGTGATGAAACTATTTACAGAAGATAGTTCTAAGTAAAGAAGATGTGTATTGACACCACTTGACTGCTTATAGTAAAATGAAGGAAGAAAACATAACTTAAAGGTAAATTGTTGAATAAAAAAAGGAAGCAGAGCTTAAAGATTTGGAAAATTATCAATCAGCTTATCTATATTGAGAAATATTAAAAAACTATGAAGTGCTCATGTGACTATCCTGTAAGGCGATCATCACGAATTAGACATCTCAGCCATTGCTGTTATTCTCAGGACATTGAAGAACGAAGCTGGAGGCAATTCGGAAAGCATTAAGCTGCCACTGCTTTGCAGGTCCAGAGCATAGGGGTAAAGAGGGCATGGCTACCACCTAGATTTCAAAGGAAGAGCTTCTTGGATCGCAGGCACAGTCCCATCTTGAGAGAGCCAAGTTGGAGGAGAAACCCAGACAGAGAGTCACCAAGTAGAGGCAGGGACAAAGTAGGGGGCTGTGATGGAGCCATAGTACTCCAACTATGGGAGTAATGTTGCCATTCCAGGGGGCCCAGAAGGCCAAGAATTGAGTTAATGAGAATTATTCTCAAGCCTTGAGCTTTAATGCTGTTTGCTGTGTTAGGCTTTGGACTTCTTTAGGACTTTTTTCACCTTATTTCTTATTTCTCCTTGAAATTGAATGTCAATCCCATGCCTGTTCCACCATTTTTATTTTGGAAACATATAACTTGTTTGGTTTCACAGATTCACAAGAGATAAATTTGTCTCAGAGCAAACCACACAGCAAGTCTTTTATGTCTGATTTAGATGATATTTAGGTCACACTTTGCACTTTTGACTTCAGAGTTGATCTGCAATGAGTTAAGACTTGAGGCTGCTAGAATAGGATGTATGCATATTTCATATGAGGTCATGAATCCTGGGGCTCCAGGGGTATAATATCATGAACTGAATGCTTGTGTTCGTTAACATTCATATGTGGAAGCCTAATCTCCCATTTGATGTCATTTGGTGGCTGGGTTTGAGGAAGTTATTAGTCATGAGAGTAGAGCCCTCATGATGGGATTAGTGCCTTTGTAAGAAATCACTGACCCATGTAGCTTCTTTTCTACCACGAGGGGGCATATGACAAGTTGGCCTCTTCTGAATCAGAAGACAGTTCTCACCAAAACCTGACCATGCTTCCACTGTGACCTCAGCTTTCCATCCTTCAGAATTGTGAGAAGGAAATTCTGTTGTTTGCCCAAGCATTGGTACTTGTTGAGGCATCCTAAACTGACCAGACAAGGAAGCATATTCAACTGAAAAGTTCAAACAAATGTTGGGCAAAGCACCAAACCTTCACTGTGAAGTGAATGGAATGGCCCTGAATGTTTAAAAAAAAAATCCTAAATGATTCCTACATGACTCTTCCTGACATGTTAAAAATCATTATACTGAACTGCCTCCATAAAAATATTCTTGCTTAGATAGGTCTGACTTAGACTATCAGCACAAGATAGTCCTTATTCCAGGTGGTAGAAGTGACATTGTAATTAAAAGGTTCAGAAATACAATGTTATACAAAAATTTAAGATCAGCCAAATGTTTTTAATTGAGAACATGTTATTACATAAAGAGAAGTTTTGAAAATCTTCTTGAAACTTGCCAAAGGAGTTTGGACACCAAAATTATCAAAACCACAAGACTATAGAGAACTTTTTATTTCCTAATCACTAAAGAATATATCTATTATTTAAGTGTTTTTCCATGAGGTCCTCTTGTGATAAAATTAGAATGTAATTTTGCAAGAACTAATTTAAACTTCTTCATATAAAATAGGTAAACATAATTGTAATTTTAACCCTAGCTCCTATCCTCACTCTCATCCTAACCCCAAACCTAACCCTAACTCCTAACCCTAACCTTTAACCCCTAACATGAACCATAACCCTAAGGACCCTAACCCTATCCCTAACTCTAAGGAAACTATCCATAACCATAACCCTGATTCTAACTCCTAACCCTAACCCTAACCCTCCTGGCTGCCTGCAAGCTGTTTTCTGGGCTCTACCTTCTGTGTGCTGGAAACACAGAAAGGACTTAACCATCATAAGCTCTACCTATGCTTTGTACCTGGTTTTTCCCCACCACCTCATGTTTCGCTGTTCACAATACAGACCAGGCTGAGGTTGACTTTGGCTCCTCTTTCTATACAGTCATCATAAGAACAGTCTGTGGTAAGCACCAGGAGGCTTGTAATCCGATTTTACTCTAATTTTGTCTTAACTGATTTTATATCATGCAAATAAATCCAACCCCATACTGTGGTATGGTACTCAGAGAGAAGTGGACACAGACACTGCTCCTCCTGCTTGTGTATTCCCTTGCCTTACACTGGCTCCTTTCCCACTTCATACAGCACTACAGCTTGCTTTCCAGAAAGTCCCTAAGACATTATGCACATTAACATTGATACCTAGCACAGGAATAATTTTTTATTAAGAAGTGAATTTTACAAGATAAAAAAATGCCATTTTATTGTAACAAATACATTTTAAAATATTTGACACATAATACAATTCTGTTCTTACAGGGCAGTGTTTCAAGGCTATAAATTCATTCTCATTAAAATTGTGGTAATTCACAAATAAGATGTGTTTGTTCTGCAAATTCTTCTCAACTAGCAATCAAAAGGCTGCAAATTTATAGGTGAGTAAGGATAACAGAAAAAAGAATAGGAAAGTAGAAATGTTCCTGGAATTAACAGAGTAAGGAATAAAACACAGAACGTGCTAACATAAGCAAAGACAATGCCAACAGTAACACAAACAGCTATGATCATGAATTCTTAGAACCTCACAGATGATAAACATCACATGACACGTTTGCCCCAACCTTCACTAATTTATATATTTTCTGTGGCTTGTATATCTTTAATATATCATTACTCATGTTTTTAACTATAGATTCTCCCTTAGCCAACTGATATACTGATTTTCCATCCTATAGAAAATTTTCATATCATTATAGGAAAATGCTCCATGGAACCCATCCTCAATGTGGTTATGGGTCACTTGAACTCCTGCGTTTTGAAGTCGGGTGACGTACATGACTCCATCGTCTCTTAAGACGTCATACTGACAAGTGATGATGTAAGTCAAGGGTAAACCACGCAACTTGCTGTCCTCTGCCAATAAGGGTGATGCTCTCACATCTAGGAACCCTGGATATTTTTTAGCCAGCTCAGAACTGCCAGTGCTGGGGCTGTTATAAAAGTGGCCATTCTTAAACCTCTCAGGAAGCAAGGAACTCCAGTTCACGAATTTGAACAGATGGATTGATTCCATGGGTACGTGTTGGTTGGAGAGCATGGCTTCTTCAAGAGACCGGTCTGTGGTAAAGTATTCACTCCAGAACCTGACCATCACTGATGTGGATAGAGATGGAAAGTATGCGTTTTCGCGGTATGATGGCAGATCCATATCAAGAGCCTGAAGGGCAGGATATACTAAGACCTGGACCTTGAGTTTGATCTTAACATCTGGGTCTTCTATGAGCTGAAAAGCAATTTAAGATAAATCCCTTGAATGAGTAATTTAGATTTAAAAACATCTATTTCATTCAAAAACAAGGTATTAATCTGACTCATATTTAGAATCTAAAAAAAGATAATTAGAACAGAACTATACCTCATAGGACTTTCTAATTTTCCACAGTGCAGGTTTCTACTGCCTATTGTCAGTGTAAGTAAAATGGGTAGGGAAAGAGAGCATTTAATCTGTGATTAAAAACCAAAATACTCCTAAAGTGAAAAGTGGCCACCAAAAGCCTGGCATGGTGGCAGAAGCCTGCAATCCCAGCACTTGGGAGACTGAGGCAGGAGGAGAACAAGTTCAAAGCCCTGTGGGTTAGTTAGGCCCTGTCTCAGAAAGAGTGAGAGAGAGGGAGAGAGAGAGAGAGAGAAAGAGAGAAGAGAGAGAGAGAGAGAGAGAGAGAGAGAGAGAGAGAGAGAGAGAGAGAGAAAATAAGGAGGGAAGGAAGGAAAGAAGGAAGGAGGAAGGGAGGGAGGGAGGCCTCCAGAGGAACCTGTTTTGTGTATGAACATATACTGTATATTGACAAGTATTAACATTTAAGGAAGAGTCACAAAACTAGGAATTCTAACATGTTTCTGGCACTGAGCAGTGCCAAGTCTCAGGGGCTAGAGACCAGCAATCTGCTCTTTAAGAAATATTTCCAGTGGCTCAGATGTCGTTAAAGTTGAGATCAAATGGTGAAGGACATAGGTGGTCAAGAGACTCTTCCTAGACTAAACCGCGATGGGCAGGTTGTGAGTTGATGAAAACCTGCGATCACCCTTCACACACAGTATTAGAGAAAGTGCAGCATGCTGGCATTCCTTCCCTTGTTGTGAAAAATAACAATTTTCTAAAAATAAAATAAGTGCTGTTTGCACTTACAACAGCAAAAGCAAGTGGAGCAATGGTCATATTATAGCATTGGTAATACAGTTAATAGAGTTAGTAAAATAAAATGTTTGTAAGTACATTGTTCTATGAAAAATTATCAGTTCAGTACTGTGTCTTAGCATTACGCAAGATTTCCAAAGCTCAGTAGTCATGTGAAGGATGCTGTGTACTGAGGTGTGGTAGTAATTAAATATAGAGCTCATAGGCAGTTACTTTTACATTGAGTTAAGAAGAAATACAAAAATATTTGCATTTGGTCAAGAAATTAAAGTTACATGTAGTCAAAATCTTTGTATCTGTGATTATTCCTAAAACTGTCTTTTATCATTAAATTGAATATGCATAGATCAAGTGCATGACTTCATAAAAACAGGATTGCAATGTACAATAACATATTTAAGATTCTGGGAGTTCACCATGTGCTCTGACTCAGCACCTCCTTCCACTTCCCAGTGACCACCATGACCACACTCACCCTGTGGTATTAAATACTGTGTGTTTGCTAGGAAGTCCTCCACCTTCACACAATGTCAATCCATGCACTGATCTGGTTAAGGAAATCTACCTATTCCTATGCAAATGGTAATTGCTATTGACATTTTCCTAAATTTTTTGGCATTCCACTTGGTTTATGGTTTTGCTTCTATAACCTATTAATATAGTGAAAATTAACTGACTTTTACCAAGTGTAATTGCCTTGCATTATTAGAAACTTACACATGGTGCATATATTTCCCTAATATTTCATTTGTGTTGCTAATATCTTAGTTTTAGGAGTGTGATTGGCCCATTGTTGTAATTCCTGAAAATGCATTTTCCAGATTGCTTATAAACATTATGCTTCTGTGCAAAGAGAGAGTGCATGCACTTTTCCTAATCTCGGGCATGTGGTATGTTTATTCACCTTTGATTCTTGTAAATTAAAACTGAGGTTTCTTATTGGTGCTATTTTTTCTTGAGTTAACTTGTTTCAGGGTTATGTAATGACTCAGATTTTCATTTCTTTTTGTGTCTGTCTTGGAAGCTATATTTTTCTTGAAATTTGTCCATTCAATTTAAATATTATTAAGCATTATTTTCACTTAAAAGAACTTCAAGTACCTCTCAAGAACTGTAGTGTGATTTCTTATGAAAAACCAATTCTTTCCATGTCTGATGGATCTTCGGTGTTGTCCCTTTCTCAGTCCTGTCGCTAATCTTTGTACCTAATCTGTTTTTCTTCATTAGATTTTGCACAGATTTTTAAATTATATTACTCCTTTCAAAGTATCAACTTTTTGCTTTTTGTTCATAGCTACTGTAAGCTTATTGTATCATAATTTCTGTTATCTTCCTTTTATTTTTAGGTGCTTATACATTTTCTTTCTTGAGTGAGTGAGATACTTATTTTCAACCTTCTTTTTTTCTAATATATTTTTATGGGTATACATTTTCCTATAATTGCCATAAAAGATTTAGATTCTTTTAAATATTGACCTGTGGACCTTTAATGTATTTTTAAAATTTCTTTAGGGAGGTAGATATTTTTCCATCTTCTTTTTTCTTATTGATTTCCGAAATTATTGCATTGTGGTAAGAGTCCAAGTGTTGTGTGATTTAAACTCTGTGATTTTTTTAGACTTGCCACGTAGCCAACCCAGTGCATGTCAGTTATTTAAAAAGTGATCATGTGTGTTTGTTTGTTCCACTGTTCTTTATATATAGATGACATTAAATTACGTTTATACATCAATTACTCCACTCCTCTATGCCTTTAGTGAAAACATCTGCCTGTTACCTTAATTACTGAAAGAAGTATTTTTAAATCTCTCATTGTGACTGTTCACTTGTGTTTTTTCACCTGTAGTTGTATTAATGTATTTTTTGTCTATTTTGAAGCCATGTTATTAAAGCCATATAGATTTAGTTGTGAAATTTTCTTGCTGATGTAAAGCTTTTCTATAATGATGTGATCTTTGTTCTCATCCACCAATTCTTTTAAATATTATTTCAGGGTATTCACTTCTACCAACCTGCTTTCAAATTTTCTGCTTATGTTTTTATTGTGCCATTTATAAACTAGATATGATAAGAATTTTTTTCTTCAGTGACTTGGGTAATTCAGGTAATATAAAGCTAACAATATTTAATATAATTATTACCACTTTGTTTTGTTAATCCTATTTTTCTTTTTAACTCACCTGTGCTTTCTTTCCTAGTGGTTGACCTTGGCATATTCTAGTTCTACCTGTGATAGTTTGGACATTATACACTGTGTAGTTCAGACATTATGCCCTGAGCCATACTAAAATAGTTTCCTGAGGTTTACAGTGTGTATCTTCACTTCTCAAAGATTAATGAATTTCAAAGGCCAATTCTAACCCTTCATCTCTTGTTTAACAATAAAAGATAGTTTATAACACTTAAAGTCTGTCCTTCCCTTGCCTTTTAACATGTAAGAATTCCATTTTATTTATACTTTATTTCCATCTGCTTAGTTATTTTAAAGTATCCAATTTCCCCAAGAATATCCCACATCTTATCACATTTTTTAGCCTCTTCCTGCATGTTAACTTCTTATTTGTGTTTTCAATTTGTTTGAAGCACTTCATTTAAAATATATTTTAATGTGCTCCATTGACAACAGACAACTTTGACCAAAATATGTCTGTAATTCTCCTTGATCCTTAGCTATCTTTGTGGGACATAAAATTAGGTTAGGGGTCACTTTTTCTGCATTTGGTATTAGCATTATGCTGGCTCAGAGCTGACACTGCTGCTTTGAGAAGACAGCCTTTGGTGCTTCTGGTTTTCCTGATTGTGTCAAGATTTTCTGTATTGCTTCTTTTTGTTTTCTGATTGCCTGTACTTTGCTTTGCGCTGTCTGCATTCTTTCTATTTTACTTGTTGGATTTAGCCTTTTAAATGATGCTTAGGTTCCATAGAGCTTCGTTTATCTGCAGTTTGGTATCTTTCATCAGCTCTACAAAAATGTGAAATGCTCCTTTCCCCTTTCTCTCCCCTGCTTAAGGCAAAAGCATTTAAAGCCCTTGGATTTTCACTCTGCCTGCTGCACTTCTCCTCTGTATTTCCCATGTTGCATTGTGCACAGTTACCAATGAATCCATATAACTCATTTTTCACATTTTTAACATATAAAATTTTTTCCTTTACCTCTGTCAAATGACTTAAGCCATTCACCAACCTTCTAATTTTGAAAACTTTGGTTTTATTAGTTTTAGAGTTTTATTATTTTCCAAAATTCCTGTTTTCTGCTGAAATTCATAATCATGATTATGAATACATTGAAGAAAATTTGATTGTTCTTTTATGTTCTCTGGCTGAAAACCCTAAGATCTGAATTTTGTGGAGAGCTCCCCATGGCCTGTAGATTCAGCTTGCTTTCTTCTCCTTCATGGTTTTGTGTTCATTTGTCTTCATATATTTTATAGTGTGGTGGACATTGAATTTCAAAAATATTTGCAGAAGTAATTCAGAGCTTATAGTGATCCCATATTTTTTCAGAAATGGCTTTTATGCTTTTTAGTAACACATAGTGTTATTAAACTTAATTTGAGTTGAAAGCCTGGGGTCTTCCAACCAAGAAGATGCTGTGAAGCAAGACTTTAAATGTGTGCAGTATCATTCTACTTCAGCTTTGACCTGCACTGACAGCATCTATCTTCAGGATCTCAAGATGAGAAATGCTTTATGATGTCCCACCTTGGGGATCCTTCCATTTCACTTGAGATCCATAACTGCAACGTTTCTAAAGCACATCGTAATATCCTTTTGATTGCCATGTGCATTAGAGTACAGAGGACATGGAGTGTACAGTTATTTGTATGATGTTTGTCTTTAAAATTTTTTAGACCTAGAGATTTCCTACATGATTTAGCTTTATAATCGTCTACAGCATATTATAAGTTATTTTATCCATGTTGTAGTAATTATGACTGAGAAATAAGTGGCTTAATATTATAGAAACCTTAATACATAAAGAAAGAGCTTATTATGTAGCAATAAAAATACAAGGATGTTTGAGGAGATCAGGTGGATTGTCCTAGGTCACCTTCAGACATTGCTTCAGTTCAAAGTCTTATCTCCTGCTGTGCTCTTTGTGTGACATCAGGCTGCCCTCAGGCAATTATGAGTAGGAAATGTCAAACTTCTTTTCTAGAAAAAGTACCAAATATCTGTTCTACAGGACATCAGAATGAATCACACAATTTTTATTATTTTCTTTAGTCAGAAATGAAGTTTTCTTAATTTTACCAGTATCTAAAATTTACACACTTAAATATTCATTAAAAAACAGCACAGAAATATTTGTTTTGTATACAATACATTTAAGTGCCTTATTTCTGATTAGTATAAGCTTTTTAATTGAAGATACTGATTTGAAAAGTATGCATAGATTGTTTTACTACAATGACAGTGCTTCTAAGGCTCTTGTTTGTTTATTTTTGTTTTCTTTTCTGGTACTGGGGATCTGAGGGACTTGTTCATGGAGGCAGGCCAAACTGATTACCATCCCCAGCTCGTTCTTTTGACATAACTTATTTTACATAACAAGTGTCAAATCAACTTTACCCAAAATCCACTATGTTAATGTATGTAATTATGGTTATATAGTATTTTAAATTCATGGCTAATGTGTGTATATTTTAGCTAAATGTCCCAGAAATTTTTGACTAATTAATATCTGAAAATTATGATTCCTTATTCAAATAAATGATATCTAGGATCTCTGAATAAGTTCCAGATTTTTTGCTAATTTTTTCAATGGACAAATATTCTGATAGCAAAATTCTTCGTGCAAGTATTGGCAAACTGCCTATAAATACGGCAAACATCTGATTCTTTGATTGTGGTGAGTGGTGTCACTGCTGGATTCCTCTAATACATTCCCCAACATCACAAAAGCTGTCCATAATAACCACATTTAAACCAATGATCTAGAAGGTGTATTCCACAATATTAAGAAAAAAAATACACCTTGACATGAGACAAGACTAAAAACACTAGGCATATAAATGTTACCTAATATTATCTCTAGGTGTCTCTAATATCTAATACAGTAATAAGATGATATATTTACATTGATCTTTTAATGTCTGAAGTCAATATATTCACATGTAGGACACTTTACAAAATAAAACAAATCTGGGCATCATACCTGTTGAGTCACTGCTGCAGCTAGATTTCCACCAGCACTGTCCCCAGAGACACCAACTCTTTCAGGGTCTACACCATATTTTTCAAGAACATCACGGCGTAGGAACCACGTCAATGCATTGTATACATCTTCATACTGATTTGGAAAATGATATTTTGGTGCTAGTCTGTAGCTGTGTGCAGAATAACAATTATTAACCAATTATTTTAATTAAATATATGTGTTTAGGCTTTCTCTAAGTCTAAAATTAAAGGTACACTGTGTCATTGGTAGGTACAATACTTTGAGTAATTATAAATCCAAAGATAAGCTCCAACCTTATGATGATGCTTTATCTTAGAGCTTTTACAAGTTGAATTTTTACACAATTAAAAGCTTGAATAGAAAAATTGGATTAAGTTTAATGTAAAAAACTAGTGAGAAAAAAATAGGTGACAATTACCCTAACTAAACGTCTCCAGAATTCTATTCTTCTTAATCACTATGTTTTATTGGTAAACAATAGCAAAAATCTTGCCATTTATTCTGTGTGAATTTAATCTAAGATGACAAGTTGACACTACTTTGTTTTACTGATGACTTCTGCAATTTTTGCACTCATCCCCATTGGATTGATGCTTTCTCTTATTATCCATCTAGAATGCTTTTTGAGAAAAGGTTTTGCCTGTGTTCCATGTGTAACTTAATAACTAAAGAAAGATTATACTGACATGCACTCTACTAACTGCTTCAAATATACTTTTTCATCTAATCCTCAAAACAAGTCCATTATGTGGAAAATGATTCTTGGTTTAGGAAAGAAACTGAGCTGAGGAGATGGTGTGTAACTTGCACAAATTCGCATGCTATTTTTCAAGGCAGGCTTGAATGTGATTCTCTGATTCTGAAGCCCTCATCCTTATTCACTCTGCTCAGGAAAACAAGGCTGGAAATCCAGCAGAAGGCATCGTCCATGAGTCTAATTCTAACAATTTCTAAAGCTACTGTTTTTGATTTCTGCTTGACCTGTTCTTTTCTCTGCCTCTTTTCTGGTCAAGCTCCAGTTTATTTCCCTACATTTGTTGTCTCAATTTCACTTGAAACATCGCTGGTGTAACTCTTGGAATAACAAAGAGAACTGAGGGCATCTTCTATATAAGGCTTATGACTAAAAAGCACACAAGCTAATGGTGGTCTTACTTGGTTGACACAACAACAGCATCAAGTCTGTCGGCTGTCCGTCTTGACAGAAAGTCATAATTAAAAGAAGCTGAAATAAAAGAATACCAAATCAGAAATGGACAAATGAATCACTGGGCATTTCTCTCAGCACAAAACCTACTAGTACACCCTATTCCTCATTGAGATGTTCTGAGAAAAACGTTTCTAATATTTCCAATAGTTCATCATCACCATAGAACATGACTTCTGCTCAGGGATCTTCCACATATACATTGTCAGTTTTCTTTTCTTCCCTACATTTCACACTGCATAATTTAAACCAGCTCTATGCTCCTCAACATTAATCTCTTTTCCTTTCATTTAGCAGATGTTAGCTGTTAAAAGTGCAAATTTAAATAGTTTAGGGAGTGTGCAACTCCTTATACTTAAGGAAGGTACAATCTACTGTAGATAGAGGTAGGGAGGAGGAGACAAATTCAAGTTAAAAATGTGAAAATCATAGTTGCTTTAATGGAGCAGCACAGAAAGTTTTGCATGGAAATGGTATGACTTCACTGAAACTGCAGTGAGAAAGGTAGAAAAGAAAGAAGTAGAAGACCGAGTCCTGTTCTATGATTCCATCCTCAATGGGACAAGAAGAGATGAAGAGCTGGGGGGGCTGCTACTACTTGTTTCACTTGGTTTTCAGACAAGTGTAAGGCTGGGGTAGAACACACACATGCACTAGGTGTGGGCAAATGCTCCCTCTACAAAGGAGACAATTTCAAGATAAACTAGAATCTTTCAGTAACATGGCTGGGGAAATCCTAAGATGTTCACGTGTCAGGATATGAGGTTGTCACAGGGCCATATCTGGACAGCCAGACAAAAATGAAGATTTTTTGGTGATATTTTCAATATCAGGTGCTAAATACTCTTAAAATGTCAAATATATACTAGGTCTTAAAACTTCCATTTAACCTTTGTATAAGATGGCCTGTGTATGTTTTTAATTAGGATACAAATGTGTTTGTTTTCTTTCCACAATGCAATATGGAAGAAACAGGCAAGTAGTATTTTGTTTCAGGCTTGTTCTTGTTTGGTCTTTCACCTCTGTAAACACACTGCTGTTCTTCAGAAGAACTTCAGTGAAAAGGTTTCTAAAGAAGTGCTTTGGGCAGCAGAGACTCATAGAAATTAACTGCAATAGTCAGATTTTCGGTTAGAACTAGCACTTCATTGCCAACTGAAAACTTCACAGACCGAATTTATAGGAAATGATGCATAAGTTCACCCCATTTCCTGCTCCAACTTACATCCCCAATCATTGTCAATACACATCAATACTTGTATTTCTATGTCACTGAGATCAAAAGCCCCTCCTCCCTGTGATGCCAATTCTTCCCTTCTGTGCCAAGCCCAATGTCCATCCGTGGTCTCAAGGTCAAATGAACCCCACCTGTTCCTCAAGCCCCACACCCACATTTTTCCACTATGTCTCACATAGTCTCAACATCAGTTTACGAACCTGCTCACAGACCTCCCACAATAATATGACATGTGTACAATAGAAAACATATTAAATATAAAACACATGTATATATTAATAAACATATTATATAAAACAAATTTGTATGTAGTAAAATGACATATTTTGTACTTATAAATATATAAGATGAATTAATTTGTATCATGTACAATAATAATGAAATATTCAACTCTGCCTTTTTCCATGTAACACCTTCTTCCACATTTTCTTAATATCTAAGCTTAATAAAATACTAGAGTCACCATCTCTATTTCCTCATAGCTCACCCACTGCTTCACCCCTTTCACTTTGGTTTTCACTACAACATTCTACCTAGATTCATGAAACACTTCTTCTTAACTGAGATTTTCTATACTTTGGTATTCATTGTTCCTTCTTTCAGGAAAAAATGAAAAAGATTTGACATTTCTTTCTTGGTTTGTTCGTTTGTTTCTGGCAGTGCTAGGGTTTGAACTCAGAGCCTCACACGTGCTAGGCAGGCACTCTACCACTTGAGCCACTGTGCCAGGCCCTTGACAACATTTCTTTAAACTAATGTGGCTCCAAGTAAATGAATTACAGACAGTGAAGTGTTGTGATTTGACATACACAAGTTTTTATGCTGGAGTCAATGCTTCAAAAAAATGTATGCAACAAACTAAAATTTCACACTCTCATACCAGCGCTCAACAAACACCAGCCACCTCCATGGATATAAAATAAGCCCCTCTTTAGGGTCTCTGACTTTCGTTTCGGGATGTACACACGGACAGGAACACTGTTGAAAGTTGTCTCTGTGACAGTGACATTTTCATCAGACGTGGGTGGTACTTCCGCAAAGTTCAAAAGGAACATCAGAGTGCTCATGAGATGGTTGATTCCCAAAAGTTCAGCAAAGAGAGCCTAAGAGGAGAGAGCAGGAAGAAAACCCACAACATTACAAATATCAAATGCAAACCTTGTTTATGAACGTATGAGTATGCATAGATGTTCCCCACCGTTGTGTGTGTATTGTCACAGGTGAATGAGTGACACAGAAATACTGAAGGTTTTATTGTGTCTGTGTTACTAAAATGGGTGCTTAAAGCAAAAAACTTGAAGGGTTACGAAGTGACAGATTCCATGCTTGACCGTTAAGAGTACAAATACAAGATATATTCTCTACTCGAAAAAAACCTCAGAGACAAGGGAGAGAAACGGGTTCGCAAGCAATTAGAAGACAGCGTAACTACACATTCCCTGTACATGTATGAAGACTTTGCCAGTGATAGGCTAGACATGATAATAAGAGAGGAGTTTCCAAACACCAGTTGAACTCTGATGTGAAAAAAAGTGTGGACAAACAAAGAAGGACACCTCTGTTTAGGAAAAGCAATGTTATGGATCACTTTTTTATTAACCACATGTCACTTAGCAAAGCCAAGTCAGGTCTACACAGTTGTGCATGAAAAAAAAGGGAACTCCAGAGGTGAAAGTGAGCTACGTCCTAAAGAATTAAAGGCTTTCTTTCTGACCTGAAATTGGAAGTGTACTCTACGGACCTAAGTATTGAAACTGCTGGGTCACCTTTTCCTCATTGCTTGAAGATTAAGTAAGAAAAAAGGAATGAGTGAAAATGCCCACTTCAAACCTGAATCATCCCACCCTGTTCCTGAAAGGGAAGTCAGGAAGTACTGTTCCCAGAATGCTTTCCCAATGTAATTATAAAATTAATTCTGCCTCAGAGAGGAAGTCATACAATTTAGAGGCAGAAATGAAGGGCAAAGCAAGCATTTGCTGTTGGAACACTATAGTGTTTCATGAAGACATAGATGACACAGGCTTTCCATTCTTCTCATTGTCTTCCTGAAAACACCAGTTCTGTAACACAGATGGCTAAAATTACTGGTAACTTCCCATCACTGCTCCATTTAAACACTGTGTACCCAAATTCACTTTTCTGAAGCTATTCCTAGAGAGACACTTATAGCAGTGTCCACGTTCTGATGAAAACATGACTGATAGAGAACATAGTCTGGAAGATGTTCTAAAAAGGATACTGTTTTAGAGAAGTATTGGAGTTGTGTATTTGACCAGGATGTACTGGCTTTAAAACAGTAATGTCCCCATTGCCAATGCAAAAGGGAAATCGGCCAATGCCTGAAATGCAGTGCATCATGATTAATTACACCAATATTTAAGGGTATATTTGAGGATAAAGAAGCCATTGCAATAAAATATTATCATAGAGAAAATAATGAGCTCAAGCAGTGACTGCACTTGAAAAGTTACAGAAAGGAAAATTACAGCCCACATGAGGATCTGTAAAGCAGATACACACTATACCTCCCTAAAAGAAATTTCTTGTCTCTTTTTAAACATTTTATTAGGTAGAAGAAAACCTGCTTTCTTGCACATACACCAAAGACATCTGGTCTAACTTGAAATGCTGGTCATACATGGCATTGGCAAGTTAATAAGGTCAATGCTTATGTAACCTTACCTATAAAACCACTCTTCCCATGGTGATATGGCTCAGGACACTGTGATAGGATAAGCGTTTGTACAACGGGCCAGCACTGGGGTTTCCAGTGAAGCACTGGAAAGAGGGTAACTGCCCACTGGTGGACTTTGACTACTTGTAAACTTCAATAAACCTTACATCTCACATCATCCCCAGGTATTTTCATTTTTCCTTCAGGAACCCCACTGCCTGGCACAGCTAGGCTATGGACAGGACAGCTTATCACTCAACTTCCAGATCCAGATGCTTGAATAAAGCTATCCAAGATACACAGGAGGACGTCTACAAGGTCATAGGTAGGTGCTATTAGCCCGCCTCTCAGCATCCCAAAAGAGAACCAAGAGCATTGTCCTTGGGAACGGGGATGTACAGACTTCGAAAGAAGAAAAATGAACTGGTTCTGAAGTGATATTAATTCCCGGAGATCCCAAAGCTACCATGTAGAGACGAAAATATCATGTAAGAAGTATTTATTTTGTAATTTTCCCTTTTTTCTTTACAGATTCCTCTCTGAATTCTCACTTGTGATATCACAAGCTATTCATGCTGGAGCCTACCTAAGTTAAAAAAAATACATTGAAGTTGCTTCTTCCTAGCTTGAGTATGCATTGGCCTGGTCTGTTCACTGATAAAGGCCCACTTAAGGGCACTAGGGACCAAAATCCATTGAGTTTCTTGTGAGACCATAGAGGGCAGTGCACAGTGTCTGCAGGCATTTTATTTTGATCACCCTCAGTTCCTGTAGTGTGAGTTTCTCATGGCAGAGAACAGGTATTCAAATGCATGCAAAGAGGCTATGATTTCACAATATGAACTGAATGCGCCATTAACACAGTGCTAGAAGACAAAATTAATTCATATTGTCTGCACATACAGATTCTGATGATTACAGAACCCTATAAAGCTCTGTAATAAATAAGCTCTAATTCAGGCAATGAGGAGGAGAGGTGGGATCAGTGCTAACTGAACAAATGCAGAAAGTTTCTAATGGATTCTCAGTTTAATTTGCATCTTTTTGCTTTGAAAATTTGTGGGTATAATTTTTAGATTCAGTGAGAAAACCAAGGAAATTTGATCAAAATCCTGAATGAAAGAGGAATTCATAGATATTTTTTAAAAATGCAATCTAGAAGCTGTCTCTTTGGTTATTTCTTATTCTGGGAATTTCTGTTTTCCATTCCCACATTATAAGAGTATCAGTTTGATATATTCTAACTAGCTAAAAAATAAATGTTATGCATATGGCATTTATTATATTACTTATTATTTATATTTAAATGTATGATTAAATAAATTATTAAAAGCAATCATTTTTTAAGTATTTGAGCTTTAGGAAGATAAGATTTAAATTAAATTATACAAATATCTACTCATAATTTTTAAAGTCATACATTGAAGGTCTTTTCCAGTTTTTTTTCTTTACAGTGGGACTGGATTTTGAACTCAGGGCTTTGTGATTACAAATTAGGTGCTCTACCAATTGAGCCACACCTTTGGTCCCTTTTTCTATGGTTATTCTGGAGATGGGATCTACAGAACTATTTGCCTGGGCTGCTTCAAACCACAATCCTCCTGATCTCAGCCTCCCATGTACCTAGTATGTATTATAGACAACAATCACAAGTACCCTGCTTCTAATTGCTAGTCAGTATTTCCTATTTAATATTGTGCCAGAATAAATTGATCCATAATCAATAACACTGTGAAGTAGATATAAATTCATTAGTTGTCATTATATTTTTCCTGAAGTTGAGAAGTTGGTTGTAGTAAACAAAAAGGGCGAGTGTATTAGATTCTAACAACTTCAAAATATACACATTTATTTATACAACGTACTGCCTCTCTCCATATATATATATAGTTATATATGTGTATATGTATATAGTTATATATAGTTATATATCTCATGTAAATCCATATCAAATTCCTGTTCAAATCTGTATTCAATCCATCTATGTCCATATCTCTATAAATTTTAGGTGTTTTTTCCATATATGTCACTTAAGCATTATTTTCAGTATTTCCAAATTTTAACTGAAAAATTTTCATGTGATTACATATGGAAATAAAATCACTAACACCTAGTTATAATACAGGCAGTTTTAAGGAGAAAGATATAAATAACAAGTATACTTTTTACTTTTTGCTAAGTACTCGTTTCTATCCAGTTTTCACTAAAACCTGGTATGAATATAATCTCAGTTTTTCAGATGAGAAATTTGAGGTGGGAGAGGTTCACACAGGTAAAAAGTGCCAGCATGTGGGACTCTGGACCTAGTCTTGGCCAGCCAATGTGCTCCACTTGGTGACTTTCATGATAAGAGGCACAAAGAAAGGAAAGGGTCATGGGATACAGTGGTTAAAGCTCCCTTGGTAGTTATTCAGTTTCATGGGTGAGAGAGTCTAGACAGGAATCTGCAGCGGAGGTCAATTTGGACCCAGATCAAGGTCAGCAGGATGGTAGTTTCCCGTGACTGGTCCAATTTTCTGCCAGTGTAGGCTACAACTAAGTAGACAAAAAGGTGACAAGCAAATGTCTTCCCCCTTTACTGGTGGCTAGCAACTATCTCAAAGTGACTGAAGTGTTAGACTTACAAAAGGTACAACTTAAGATATGGCTTCCAACATGTTAAAATTGCTTTCAGGAGCATGGAACTTTATGCAAGAAGAGTGAAATACAAATTACCTATGTACTCTAGTAATAAGGACAGTCCTGAAACAGAAGCAGGGTCCCACCTCTCCCTGGGGCACTGGTACAGTAGTTAAGCATCATCAGAACACTGTTAAGCATTGTTAAATCAGTTACTGATGTCTTTGTTTTTATAGTAAAAATAACAGTAATGTTTATTAGGAAAGGAATTTAGTACAACAGGATAAAAGTAGAGTGAAATGGAAAAAGAAGAAACATTTCCTGCTCCCTACACAGGAAATGGGAGTAGAGAATCTAAGCAAGCCTTTGTTTTAATCAGTCTTTTGAAATATTATTTTCCCTTTAAATGTGCTGGGGGGCTGGGGAGATTGGACTCCCTAACTGAAAGGAAGATCCTTCCCTGGGGCTCTGGCTGCTGTGAGCAAAGGATTGGAGCCAGGCCACTAGACTGCCCTCATGCCACTTTGAACCCAAAGCACAACTCTAGTTCCTTCAGTTATTGTACAGTTTCTATTGAGGTAGAGCAGAAGGTCCCCAGCCAGCTGGCTTGTGACCTTCCAGGTCTTCCCCAGATTCTGAGCCATCCAGACACAGAGCTTGGCATCGATGGGGTCTCCTACCTGCTGTTTTCCACAATTACAGAAGAGGTGGAGACTCCTACTTCCAGTGGACCATCTCCTGCTGTCTTTATTCTCACCAAGTGTTACCTTATTGCTGTCCATTCTTCAGCTCCGTGTGATTTCTATACGC